CCCTGAAAAAAAGGAAACCAACGACAGCCAGCTGGGATTTGTTGCAGCATTGTGGCAACACGGTTCAGAAACCGCCGTTTAATTGGAATACGGAACAAGCGAGAGTTTATAGGAGAGTACGATTTATGAGAAGCGCGAATACATTTTTGCCTAAAGTTTGTCGTACTACGAAAGGATTTTTAATGTAATGCATATTTTAGAATTATTTAAAATGATTTAGAAAAAAATTATATTCGTAGAAGTCAGTAGGATATTTTAAGATATGTGTTAGATTGAAAATAATGTGCTTTGAAAATATTCAGCTGTTTTTCCACGATATATTCAATATTCTTCAACGAAAACAGTATTATATATTATTATGTTATATAAATGAAGATAATAGTGTTAAAGGTTTAAGTAGCAATTTAAAAGTGTAGATAACAAAAGCAAGAGATAATAGTTTGTAATACGTTTCAGTAATAAATTCTGAATATAGAAGTGGTTACATTTTCACAAAGCACATCTACCAAAATATTATACAAAAGAAAAATGATAATAATTTCAAACAAGTTCGATTAGAATCAAAGTACATAACGTTTAAAGTATTTCAAATTATTTAAGAACTTGGTTTAGTAAAAATAATTTAAAATTTGTTTAGAGGAAAGAGGATAAAATTCCAAAGGAAGGAGGTAACAATGTATCTAATTTGTGTGAGCGTCAACGTTCCACGAAAATGTAGATTGACATTCTTTCAAAAAACGTAGCCTCGAAGCAATGGGCGAGAGGAGATTGAATTGGTTTTTTTTTTTTTCTTTTTGTAACGCCGCTATGGCCAAGAAATTCTGGACAATAAGATACAAAAGGAAGAGTAGGCGAGTCAGCGTAGAATTTAAATTCTTGATCTCACGGTCACTGACCATGGCATTCAGGCAATGCCACAGTGTTGTTGAACGAGTTGAAGATCAGTGCCCCCTGCTTTCCGGGCCGAGTTCGATGAAAGATCCGATGATCAATGAGTCACTTGTGTATCCACCTTAAAAAAAAAGTCGTCATGGAATTTAATTAATGTGAACAAACGTCACGTCGCCATCACCATAATGGGCCTTGTTCGCGAGCAAAATTTCATTCCCAAGAATATGTTAATTGTTACTACACACTAGTGACTCATGATTGGAGTAATGATGTATAACGATAATGATGTATCGTTTCAGAATTACTTTTTTTTTCTTCTTATTTTTTTAAAGTTCAATATTCTCCTAATCTTTTTTTACTCTGTAGATTATATTATGATATTGCATTAGATTTGTATCATATAACGTTGTATAGTATTATACTACATACAAGTCGAAACAAAAAAATGAAAAGCATGACGTAAAATCATTATCTTAAAAATTGGCAATTTTTATTATAGTTCGGTGTATTTAGATAGAATTTAGATGGAACATTCTACATACCTGAAACGTTCTGTATTTAGTATAGTTAGACATAATATTGATTATTTCATTAGATTCAAGCGCGTCTCATAAATCTTTCGCATTATGTACGCTATTGCAGTTCTGAAATAACCAACACTAGCACGGAGCATTAATGCAGAGTTTATGATTTTCCCAGACTCGCGTATAATTCGCTGTATAATGTAAAATAACTGTATCTGGAAAACAAGTGACTTTGAAATGCACATTAATTAGAATTATTCCTTTATCATCAGAATCTCTTTCTAGAAAAGGAAAAATCACTGCTTCAAAGATAACAGATTTAAAAGGCAAAAAAAAAAGGGAAAAGTACATAAAAAAAAATTTTTTAACAAGGTAAAACATTAATCCTGGCAATTGAATTTATATAAATTGTTGAATTTTCATCAATTTAAAAACAAATTTCAATTAAAACTTTTCAAATTATATTAATTTTAAAAAGTATAACAAATGAAATACAAATATAATGTATAAATACAAAATAAATGTATAATAATATAAATTATACTATTACTTATCTATAGCATTTATTAGCTCCCCAACAACTATAAAAGTTTCTAATGACCTGTTACAATGCTTAATACGATTGTAAATAATAAATTAGAAAAGGGAAATTGATTATTTTTTCACTGCTTTTTAAACTGCAATACAATGCGAGACATTATTTATGCTTATTGTTTAAAAGAGAAAAATTGCACAAATGCTAATCATTGTCTCGCAAGCGATTAATTTAAATCTCAGATAAGATACTTGTAATATACCATAATCTCGCTGTTAATTCTCAGTAGAATCGGTAGTACGTATAATAACTGTTGATAATCTGATTATACCGTTATTACATCGGGCAATTATGTTGATAATGTACGATTCTTTGTCAGAGAAATAATTAAAGTCAATTGGTTTATTAATATATGAGATAATGGACATTTTTAATAAATTCTGATAAAATTGTAGTCTTTCAATCCTGTCCTCAAATTATGAATTATATTAGCTGGTTAAATTCAATACTGTAGATGTTTGATTTGTATTAATTTCTCTTTTATAATTTTTTAAACATTTTAGGATTTATAGTACAATTCAGATAAATATAAATATTAGAATTTTTTAAAAATTATAGAATTGAGTTTGGAAAGTTTCTGTAAATTCTTTTAAATTACTTGAAGCATTAAATAAAATTTTTTGTTCTTTTCCTTTCAATTAATTTTTAGTTTTAGAGTAAATTAAAATCGTATTGAAGTTTGATTGAGTTTATATTTAATGTAGCAAAATTTTATACAAGTAACAATAAAGTAACTTGAAAATTTTTGCTTAAAATATAATTATGAAGTAAGTGAAGAAAGTAATTATAAAGTTTGTGGCTTAAAAAGCTCACTTTGCAGTAAGTAAAAAGTTACTTTGTAGAAACAATTATACAAGCTTCTAGCTAAAAAAAAAAAAAAAAAAAAAAAGTGATTGGAATGATTCAGTGAATCGATGATTAAAGCGGATGATGAACAGTTTCAAGAACGAAATATTAATCCATTTTAAGAGTCTGTCATGCAAATTCTGCGTTATCACGAAATAAAATTGGCAATTGTATAATAATTTGCTAACGTTGACTCGTCATAGACTTGCAATATCCTTCTTTCGTAATGCTTCATGCTTGAAAGATTTCCAAGCAAGTAGTGTAATGTACAATTTCACAATAATACACATAATACGCATGCGCCAATATTTTATGAAAAATGTTTCTATACTTTCATGAATTATAATATAAATATAATTATAGAATAAAATATAGAATATATATAGCACAGAATACTTAACAATTTTACACAGTAAAAATGGAACTAGTTTCGTATATATAATACATTCAGAAAAATTTTCTATGATTAGTGTTCAAATATTCGAATCACTATAAGGAAATTCACAATTAATACACTTACATAAAGCTGCGTCACTGCCAGTAACTGCGCCACTATTCAATATAAAAAGAAAACCACAATACATAGAAAAATAAACAAAAGTGCACAAGATAAGCAGTTGGTTTGTGCGAGGGGATAAGGGACATTTTGGTCGTTTTGCAAGGCAAACACCTCGCGACAATTCCGCGCAAGTAATTTGCACGTGAAACTAGTTTTCCAGCGCGTATTGGAGTACGTGTCCGCGGTCTTCACAGAAAGAGATGCAAGGTATCGTGTGTTCGTACGCACAGTTAGGCACAAGTACGCGCCTCTCTGTCGGAGAGGAGCCAGCCTGATGATACAGGTACTAGAGAGCAGGTCGTTGAACCTAGGTTCCTCTTGTGTACACTGCACACCACTGTCTTCCGGCCGTTTTCGTTTCAGTTTCTTATATGTAGTAGGAAGCTTCACTAGAATCTAAATGCGACGAACGAACAGCCCGACAGTAAGAAGCTGAACGGCGGATTGGAGCTACGCAGGAATAGATTGCCTAGACGATTAATAATTTAACGGAATTAATGGCAAAGAAAGGAATTCGATGGCTACGTTTAATCTCGTTATTAGCGATTAACGGTGCTGCCGTGATATTTTCTTCCATTATTCTCTTCCCAGCGTAGTTTGAAAAGAGCTATAAAAAGATAAATATTTCTTCACGTCGTGTTCTATGAATTTCAAATTACTTCATTAATTAAAAATGTAATGTTTAATATGATTCAAACTTTCAAGTATTTAATATGGCCCTAGACTTGAATTTTGATCACTTCAAGTTAATATTTTCCTAATTTTTAATTTGCATGTTATTCTTTCCTTTTTATTTTATACTTATTTTTTACCATTTTTTTTTTGTGATTATTAAAGAATATAAAATTTTATGTTACATTAAAAAAACATACCTACAAATAAGATTCTATAAACATTTTAACAATGTATTAAATATATATTATATTTAATTTATATTTTGATTAATTTGTATAATGTATAATATTATTATATAATTTTGTCTAATTTTAGATACGTGTGTATTAAAGGCAGTTGTAGCCTTAATTAGTATAGAATAATGAGAAGAAAAATATGCACGTACGTTGTAAAATTAACGTCCAGAATACGGCTCATAAAATCCCCAAGTTATCAAACATTTTGTCCTAATCAAACGTTTTCATACGTATACGTATAGTTCACGAGTTAACAATTTCCGGCATGTTCGTGGAATCCTGTTTGAAGTTAGTCACCAACTACAGTTAGTTTCCTGCCCTGCCATCCTGCTTGATCAAGGCGGTGCACACCTTGTCGGCTCGGATGCGTCTCTTGTTTGTGCATCTTCTTTTTTACTTATATCCCGTCCCTTCTTCTATCCAGCGCAGCGTCTAGCCACGGTCTATAGTCTATACTTTTAGCGAGCGACTGGACTAGGGAAAAAGATGATAGGATCACAGGAAACTTGTATCCTCTTATCCGTTCCCGTAGATGAATTTATTGAAACTGTGTCTGATTATTTTTCTGAAATACAATTAGGTTAGTAAATACATTTATTAATTCAAGTCTCACAGTGTTTTCTAAAGATTTGTTCATTTTAATGTGGATCATTTGCTGCTTCAAGATTACGAACCTGAGTGTTAAAGTAAATTAAAATCTTGTTACCACAACAGGAAGTCGATGAAAATGTCTGCTTAAAACCAGTACTACTTGAGCCGTGTGTCTATAAATAACGGTATCATTAAGTTATCATTTTACATTAGACGCTTCCATTACATAAATTACAAACTCTATTTTTAACCTCTACTTAAGCCATAAATCTCCTACGTAAGAATCATTCGTCCAAGAGCACTCGTTTCCTCCGTGATTCCCTTCTGTCGAGTTATCAGCCAAACAGTAGTATCTATCTCATGCGTTTCCAATAAAAGAAACGTGCCAGGAGCGCTTGTCAGCTACGTATCAAGCTATCCATTCGAGAAATTAAAATCCACGACAATCCACAGGGGCTATTTTTACTGACGTCTCGTGTAGGCTGCGCTTGTCAGCCGCAACGCTGACCGTTCAGATTTCAATTAGACACACAGATGGACATCTCGTTTTACTCTGGTTCCGGTGAAACGGAGGAGCAACCGACGCGCAGCAGCATTGGCGCAGGTTCGCGCGCGCGCGCAATCCCCCCCCCCCCCCCTCCTTCAGTTTGATATAACCGTACCAAAACGGCCGAGAGAAGGACAGAGAGAGGATGAACGCTCGTTTGAAACGCACACACAGGGGTGCTGCGTTACGGGGTGGTGGCAGCGAGGCATCGCCGTAAAATCACGATACGAAACGAAAACAATATTTCGTGGGGAGAGAAAGAGAAAGAGAGAGAGCGAGACCGAACGGTGCGGCCCTCGCGCGTATGTGTGTGTGTGTATGTGTGTCACGGCAAAGCCACGGAACGTCCCTGAGAGTTCACTAGCTTCCTCGGATCGTTGTGAACCGTCGATTGCTTTTCTCTTTCTCTTCCTTGATCTCATACCTGTTCCTTTCTCTCTCTTTCGCCACGGCGTAGAGACGACGTGGCCGGGTGACCGTGCGCGCGTGTGCGTTGCATGTCAGGGCTGGTGAGCCCCGGAGGAACGGTCCTTTCTCAGCTCCGAAAACTGGTTCCGTATGCTTTCGTGCACTATATCGAAGCTCCCACCGTGTATACAGATGCCTGTGGCTCGGGACTCTATCTGTCCCAGAGAGGAGAGCAATAGAGGCCCGGGGAAGACGAATTGTCCGGACGGGTCAGTCGTCGAATCGCGGCCCAGAGGGCGCGTCGTTAGAAGACGGGGGTTTTAGGAGTGAGTTCTCGTGTTGGGGAGGCTCGTCCTCCCCTTCCCTCGCGTTCTTCCTTTTCCTCGTCTTCCTGCACCTTTTCGTACCTCTAGTTTCGACCTGCGTCCGTCTATCCTTCTCTCTCCCCCCTCCCCCCTCCTTTCTTTCTTTCTATCCATTTGTCTCTCTCGGTTTCTCTCGCTTTCTCTGCCCGGTACCGTACTCTCTCCCTTTCTCTCGCGTCCTTTCTCTTTCTCTGTCGATCCAACTAGCGGGGGCCCGCGGGAGTGACCCTGAAAGTTCAACAGCCCTCCCTCGAATGGCGCCCCTAACCGCCTCCCCCTCCACCCTCGTACCTCTTCCCGTGTCCCTTCCCTTTGTGTTGTGCACTGAAACCTAACTTCGCTTAGGCGGCCGCGGTTGCCGCCGCAGCCACCGACACGCCGTTTCTGTGCTGCACGGACTTCCATTTCTTTCTTTCTTTCTTTCTTTCCGTTCGTTCGTTCGTTCTTCCTTCCTGCGTGCACGTACGTAGTAGTTTCGTCTTTCTTTTTCTCTTTCGGTTCTCTTCCCGGGCCGTCTATTTCTCTTTCTGACCGCTTGCCACCTTGTGTCTACGGTATATACGTGTCCTGGCCTTTACCAGTCGCCAGCCACGATCGTGTTCCTAAGGCTAAGGACCTTCTCGCGCGGATCTGATTGACCGTACATCACTGGCGCAGCCTTCTTCGTGCAAAACATTGAGAAATCGGCGCGTTTCCAAGATTTTCGGTCAAGAGCATGTTTTTTCGTCGCTTTGAGCTGCGGTTGCTGATTTGATTGACATGACGGATTGAAATTAGGAGCTAGCGTGACGGAATCTCGGAGTTTTTTTTTCTTTTTTTGGTGGACAGGATTAGATTAGGAACGCCTTAACTAAGAAAAATTTGGTTATTTTGATGATACGTACATTTCATATGTATATTCAATTATTTACGTATTATACAAAATAGTACATTTTCCAATTAATTTACGTTATGTGATAACTTTTAAATCTATCATGTATAAGAGCTCTCTTGTGCTTGGACCTTTCTTTTACAATAAAATTCATGTATATTCACCTCAATTAATTAATCGAAACGAAAAAAAGGAAACGTAGACAAAAGTAACACTATTGCAGGTTCTTATTGTACTGTTGTAACATGAACTTTCTGTTTCCTCTGCATTCGTTAATTTATATAACTCCCTTTTTTCACGTTTCCCTTGAACTGAAACGGAAGTCGATACATTCTTCTCCCGTATTGTGATATCTTTCAATGCTGCAAACGTTTATACACTATGTAATTCGACTTCGTAACTTCGGAAATGTAAATTGCAGTGTGGAGGACTTGTGCCCGGATACGTTGCATAAGTTAGGTTTACAGCCTTAAAACCTTGACCGTAAGACTGTCATTGTGTAACAGTACTTTGTTCGCTCGTTGCTATAGTAGTTTATTGCTTCTCCCTCCTCCCACTGCAATTCGAATACAATTTTGTTTCCACGTGTATCGATATGAGAACCGTCACAATCGGCCGTGTTATTTCCAAATACAAAGCAACGTATTATTATGCAGATACGTGTGTATTATTATGTAGATAGACGATGAGTTGAAATTATTTTTCATGTTGCACAGTGGCAACGAAACGGAAGACAAGGGAATATTATTTATAAGAGTAATATTAATTTTATTAATTCTAATTGAAATTATGATATCTCACTTTATGTTCGCATTAAAAATTATGAGTAAGTTTGATATTATTATATTTAAAACGGTTGCAATTATGAGATTACAATTTTCGCATAACATTTAAGTTATTTAAGTTAATGTTTACGACATAATTATTGAAATGAAAAATATGTTATCGATGTTATCTATATCAATGTTTTATTATACACAATTTCATTAAAATTGAATATTATAACTAAGTGAGTGGTCCAGTACTGTCAAATTAAAGATAATTTAATAATACACTTAGTCGTAGCCATTATAAAATTGTGAAACAAATTCCCACTCGTTTACACGTGCCTTGTTTTAAAGGACACTTTATGTGACAGCTCTTGACCATTTAGATTAATCAGCTTTAGGTTTCAGCATTTACCAGTTTCTATTATTAACTCATTACCTGCTAGACAGCTTGTTTTATCCTTGTAGTTGACAGCTTGTTTAATCCTTGTGGTTGACAGCTTGTTTATTATGGAAATAAAATTTGTTTTTTTTATTTTTAATACAAGTAACGAAGCTTGATCTCTGTAAATATCTTACGTAGAATAAGATTTAAAATCACGTTACTATTTTTTGACAAAATTTTAATTTACAAACATACAATTTAATTACAGAACTATTACATGTATTATAAAATACATGCAATTAAAAAATGTTATCTATAAGAAGTACTAAATATTAGAATGTTCTGTGACCAAACACTTTTGAACGAGAGTACAATAAATAATGAACGTACATAATAAATAATTTTGTCGCATCAAATTTATCAAATATAAAAATTAATTTCATAGTCAGAAAAATAAAAGTTGCATTAAATTTTACTCATAATTATTTTCGATAACTCGTAGCAAAAAAAAAAAAGATTTCAAAGCGTCATTATGAAACAAGGCGGAAAAGGGGGGAAAAAAGAGGGTAGTCTGGCGATACGGTTTCTTTATGTTGCCAGATAGCCTATTGAGTAAGGTCAAGGCGGCAGCTGTCGAGCTCTGCCATTTTTTCCGTCCGTTTAAAATTGTTCTTCGTACGTGAAAGATGCGCACGCCATTGCAGGAAGTCGAATCAGCCGCAGGAAACCAGTGTTTGCTGTCGGCATTAAATCGGACTTGTTCGTGATCGTGGGAAATGCCGCGAGGTGTAGTCGGAATAAAAGGATCAACCACCTGGAGAAAAGTGGAGTAATTCGTATCCGGAAGCGAAACGAAAGCCTTTCGTTCGGTGACAATGTTTCGCCAATATCGTTACTGGAATATTCCAGCACATCTAAAATGCAAATGCAATATAAATGTAGTGTATTATAAAGCTCATTTTTTAGAAATACGCAGACGAATAGAATAATAAAAATGTACTGAGAGGAATGAGACAATTTAAGGAAACGTTCGTATGTAAGTACTCACGTATTATAAAAAAAGGATAATCGTTGTCGTTGCAAATTATCTGACAGGTTATTTAAAAGAAGTGTGCAAGGTGTTGATACAAATTACGTTGTAGTTGTCGGACATTTTAATCACAGTGATTCGGTTTCCGTTCTATCTTTAATATCTCGGCAAGGTACGTTTACGCGACTATGTTTTGCACCCCTCTTTGTATTCCGTTCAGAATAATAAGCAGTCGTTTCCCCTTTCCTTGTAATTTTCATTTAGCGGCCGCACATTTTCGACGTTTATCAATGACCGAGTTCGAAATTACAGGCGTATGTTAAATTTTGTTCCTTTCTCGACTTCGTTCATTTTCTTGCCCCTCGTCTTTTTACTCGGACTTCTCGCCTCAGTGGTTTTCTCTCCAATCTGCGAGTACTTTTCTCAGTCTTTTGTCAATTTGTACAGTTTAGTTTGATGGTCTTCATCCAGGATCAGATTTTAAGTGTTATAATTAATCTAATTATTATAATAACTGTTAATGCGCAAATTATTATTATCTCGCAAGAGAATTAATATTTCTTGATCGTTCTTATATTTTTTGACACAGTACATGCAAACTTCATTCGACCTGTCAGTTCACCTCAGTTAATTTTTTAGGTTTATGTCAAGTTCTTGTATTCTTAGGTCTTTGTTTGTTCATTTATCGATTTTCTGAACTTCCTAAAACTCACAGTCCCTTGAATTCAAGTTGCGCTTCGTGAAACGGAAAATAAACTCCCGTTAATTATATTTGGAAATAATTAGAAAATTGTATTGTAGATATTTTTTTTTTTTTTCTTTCGAATTAATGATTCAACTTGTTCCTTTTATGAACTACTACAAACAACGTATTTTTCTGTCTAGAATGGATGAGATCAGATTTATTATTTTACAATACCATGAAATTTTTTCGCGGAACACTAGGTTTACCCATAAAATAGGTTACCTTGTATTTATAACAGCAATCAATACAGTCAATACATTTCAAATATCAGGGTACAAATGTGAATAATATATAAAATAAATAATGTATAAAAATATATATATATATAATTCTTTAGAATTATTAATATCTAAAATCGAAACGATCAATACTATTAAAAAAAAAAACACTGCAGATTAACAATCTAAACATTGATATTGTTAATTACCATTGTTTGACCAAACATACATAATACTTTCAATTATTTCGCGATAATCGTTCGCTTTGCTAAATTCCCTTCGTTCTCCACTAGGAACCAAAGAGCACGCTTCCTGTTTCAGTTGGCTTCTGTTGTCAGCTGATGATCTCCACTAACGCGCGCGTTACCCGTGCTCATACGTACGGTATGTACGTACTTGAAGGCCTCGTCCTTCATATACAGTCGCACAATATGCGTTTGCACGTGTACTAATACATGTCACCGAACGGTAGCAGTGGACGTTGGAGGGGCAGGGAAGGATTGGTATCTCGGTTAGGAGAGGGAAGGGACGAGGTCTAGTGAGGTTATGGCCGGGACGAGAGGTTGGGAAAGGGGGAGGGGATACATTGCCGCATTCTGCGAACGTTATACATGCAACGCGAGTTGCAGCCTCGGCGTGCGCGCTCGTTGCAGCGTCGCGTAATCAGCGCTTACGTCACCTCGATGTGTGCCGTTGGTGAGCGCGTGCGTGTAACCGTGTGTGTCATTGCTCTTCGCTTTCGTTTTGTTTCTCTCTTTACCGGTGTCTTTTCCTCGCCAGCGGTTCTTCCTCGTTTCGCTCGTGTGTGCGCGCGCCTGTGTCTGTGTCTGTGTGTGTGTGTTGCAGGTTACGCGCATGCGTTCCGCGATGCGCGCTCAAATCTTCGCGCGCATGCGCCCACGCACGCGCACATCCCAGTGAGTTTAGAAAACGGTAGCTCGTCGAGGTATTTGAATATTTATTGAAATTTTTTGTATGTTGTGCGTGTTGTATGAACTTTTTTTTGAAATTTTATCGATACTGTAATATGTGAAACATTATCGCAGAGAAAAAGATTTATCTAAGAGTCTATAGTAAGTAGAGTGTCCGAATATTTTCACGAGCCATTGTTAGAGTCGGTTAGAACGAATGCAGTGTACCGTTAACGAACAATTTTTCGTGAGATTTCTTTTTCGTACGTTGATTTTACGTGATTTTTGTGAATGTTGTCGTTTGACGAAGACGTTTTTGATGGTGTTTCGTAATGTCATCGAGTATTCTACTGGCTGAGATCGATATCAGGTAATTTTTGTTATCGAATAGTGTAGATTGACCAGAGGCATGAAATATATGTACGTCTGCACTATACGATGTTTAGATATATTGATAAGAATATTGTGTTATTACGTTTCTCTTTTAGATCAGATTAAGAATATACATATTCGTACATACGTTTCATGCTTGTCGTTGAAAGTAGTTAGAATTTGTTCAAGCGTTATTATTCCTAGATATAATATCCGGTTATTATATTTGAGGTTATGAAAGAATTCAACGACTTCTATTCATGTCTTATATTTATTATACTTTTTCTTTTCAATTTCCATCGCCTATTACGGTTTCTTTTATATGAACATTTCAAAAGCGATAGAAATGATTAAGATGCTATGGAAGTATTCATTTACGATTCATAGAATCTGGGACAGGAGAGTCCTCTACATATAGAATTCAAAGCGTTTTAACGGGTTGGCACACGTGCCATTATTCAAACGATGCACGATGACTAATGAAATTAGTCGATATAATTCTGTTAGCGTAAAAGTAAATGAATACTAATTATTTATACTAATTAGCATGCATTAGAATAGTTACAAAGAAAAAATATTTTCAGTATTTAAGCGTATTTTTGTCAGGTTTTACATTTATTATAGTACCACATTTTTGTACTATGTGGTAATACTACTAAATTTTTGTCACATAGCAGTATTATTGATTTAAAAATTTTAAAGAAAATTTAACTATTATTTTAATAATTGTTATATTGGAAATTTAATTGTTAGTTGAATTAATCAATTAATATTTAAATATTGTAATAAATAATAAAATATATAATGTGGATTAATTAAACATAGTTACAATGATTGTAATTAAAAAGTTATGTTATTGAACATAATTTTAAAAGAATTTGTTTTATTTTATATATATTTATATATCTTTTAAAGATATAGTTATATATAAAATAAAACAAATTCTTTTATACATAAAAATAACGTAGATTTGCAACGATGAATTTTTAAAAATTCAATGGATTTTTCTTAAAATATATGTATATTGTGTTCTTTATAAATCTTTTTATATTCTTAGCATTTTTCCTCTTCTGATCAAGGACAGACGCAAGTTTGCTAGTTCTAACGTTGAAACGAAATATGTAGTAAATGAACTTTCTATCACACTGTTTCAAAAATCGAATACAATCTAAAATGCAAATTTAATGAAACGAGGAATTTGTAAAAGAATGTCTAAAACTATCAGACCAGGAAATATCCTGTAACACATCGAGCCAAATGCACGTATAACGCATATGTGTGTATATATAGAGCAAGGTTTGGGTTAGGTTTACAACATAAGGACATGTCTTAGCAACGTTCCTTATAATTCGTTAACTCACTGTGTGTGTGTCTGTATATATATATATATATATGCATTATTAATGGCCATGATAATTCTGCGTTGCATAACGTAGTGTATCACGTACACGGAAGTCTATGGATAATAATTAATCGTTATAAGATAGTATAAATTGATGATGTTTACGTCGTAAGTTAACATGGTGCACGGATGCGTGGATCTTTATCTGATTCATTACCCCTCGTTGGATACATTTTAATGCGTTGAAAAAAAGACGTTGAATAACGATAAGCTATGGTCAAACCTTGTCGCGATAACCGGTCAACTAGTAATGGAGTCTGAGACATTTCGAATCGCCTTGGATCACAGTAGTGTATAAACACATTTGAGCCTCGCGGAAGTCTTCTAAGTCCTGACAAGTCACGACGATTCAAGCTAATATAAAATATAAAAATAGGTACAGATATTAAAAAAAAAAAAATTTAGGAAGCCTCATCAATAGTAACTTGTTCCCTATGAAGTTTCAGCGTGCATATTTTCTCAATATTAAATTAACATTCCTACAGTAACATAATAAGCCAGAGACTTCTAACTGTTATTTAAAAAAAAAAAAAAAAAAAGGAAAATGTTACTAAAAAAATTATAAGGAATCACAATGGTAAATTCCTATAGTACAATCATTGAACCAGAAGGGAACAACCAGCGTTGTTCGAGGATTAACTGTATCTCGAGTCCCATCACTAACGGCAACTATTCTTAGGCAACTTTCTATTTACTCGCGTAAGTAGTTACACGATCTCGCGTTGCATCCTCGCCAGCGAGAACACCTTGCCACTTCCGGTCGCCATATAGAAACGACACTGTTAATCCGATGTCATGGCTACTACCGACGTCGTCATCCTGTTTTTAACAAACTGTCGCTGTTGGCAAAACGATACCGGAGACGCGAGAAGTTCGCGCGAGATGTCTCCTCCGAGTTTTTTTTTTCGCGAAACCGGTTTATGACTTCTGAAGTTGGAAAGTTAGCTTCTCTTTTTTAATCGTGGTTGCAACGCATGGTAATATTGTAACTGCAGGGTTGGCTGAACGTTAGAACGAAATGACCTAACTCGTTGGATTTTCTTAGTTTTACAGTTAGTAGGGACATTGCACGAAGTTTACGAATGTTTAGTTTTATTGAGATAGATGTACGATTGCTTGACTTTTGAAAAATGAAACTCGGAGGGGAAATCTACGTATTGAGCATTATACAGAATAGTTTTGCATGCATTCTATATATTTAAAATATTCTAATAGCTAGTCTTAATGAACTATGACATTTTGGAGTATATGTTACATTAGATTTGTTAGCTCAAATTTCTGATTTACTTAAGATTAAGAGACCTCAACTTTTAATACTGTTATCGATGAACAAAATCTTTCATGTAATATGATTGAATATGACTGTTGGTTCAAAAAATTCAGCTAATACTAACTTCAGTCTTAACTCGTGATCTCTAACTTGGTTAAAACTTCTGGAACAAAAGTATTCTTACTCGACTATACAATTCAGTCGTAATAGTATACAACATATAACATAATTATATTTAAATATAAATATATACATGAAAATTTTCCATTAACATAGTGTTGGAATATTTTCTTGATTCGCTATGTCTATATACAATTTTTTACATACATACTTTCTTCTTAAATCACCTATACTTTTAATCAAAAGAGATACGGACTCAGAAGTTGTGCAAATCGTGACATGCAGTCATACTGTGAACGACACGAGGTGTTTTCCATTTGTGCTGGTCCTTAATCGTCCGGACACAGAAGCGCGATCGGGAGTTATATAGCCGCTAAAGTCGTTAAACGTTAATTGGCAATCAGGAGCTGGAGATTGCCACCTGCGCCGCTCTGTCCGTGTATGAATGTAAATTCGTAGATCGTTGAAACCGCGCTGTGTCGATCGCGCGTGTCTCTTTTTAAATG